GGAGTGCGCTTGGGAACCGTGGAAGGGGTTACCTGGGAGACCTCCCCCGCCCCAGGGCCGGGTCTCTTCCCCCCCAGGGCCTTCTGAGCGGGGGGGATCCCCTGAAAGCAGCGCTTCCAGGGCCCCCGCTGCCCGCCCGCCGTGCAGCTTGGGCAGGAGCAAAGCACAAATACATAACAACAACGTGAGGGGGGCTGGAGAAGTTGTCGAAGCTGGCTTTTGCCGGAAAGCTCAATGTGCTGACTGAGAACTCGGCCTCTTGCTGGCACAGAGAAGGGGGGTTGTTTGTTTGGGCGTGTATAGCTTTTTCTTGGTGTATTGATTCTATCAACTGTTCTCTTCTTTTTCAGCAATTAGAACTAATCACACCCTTTCAGCTGTATTTCAACCCTGAATTAATATTTAAACACTTTCAAGTAAGTGTTTTCTAAAGTGTGGGAGGTTTTTCAGTAAACTGTTGAGTTTACAAGTGCTTGTCCTCTCAAAATTGTTACAGATGACTATGACTTTTCATGTTAAAGTTATAGTTTAAAAAAGCTAATGAAGCTAGAGTGCCATCACTGCATCTTAGCATAGGTCTTTGGTTTGTTGACTATGAAAGAAATTTCAGTTACATTGTTACTTGCTTTTGTATTTAGTCATGTTTAAAGTCCTTGTATTTGTCTTACTTCCAGGTATGGAGGCTAATCACAAACTACTTATTCTTCGGACCAGTTGGCTTTAATTTTTTATTTAACATGATCTTTTTGTATCCTTCATCAAGTTTGTTTTCTCTCCTTGGAAAGCAGAGCTCCAGAGCACAGGCATGTTGCTATACGTGCACATAGGCAAAGGTTCAGCTCTGCTCCGCCGAGAGGTTCCTGGGAGTTTAGCAATGCCGACTTCACTGATGTCATGAATGGACATCAATGGGATTTCCTTTGTAAGTTGTCAAGAATTTTGCCGTTTATTTTTGTGGTGTTAAGACTTTGTTGTACAAGCCTGATCCTTCAGGTTGGTTCTGACATACAGGAGAAAATTCCAAGTAACGTTTTTCTCCTGGGTCTGCCTTCTCTGCTGAGGCACCCAGAAAGAGCCAGTTGATGAAGTAAATTGATACAAAACTTACATCTAAGCTCATGTGTAATTGAATCCTTTTCTGCTTGGATCTTTCTTTAAACTCATTTGCAATCAAATTTTCCTGACCTGTGACTTCAGATATCGTTACTGCCGAATGCTTGAAGAAGGCTCTTTTCGAGGTCGGACGGCAGATTTTGTATTTATGTTCCTTTTTGGTGGACTGTTAATGACTGTATCCTTTTTTTATTCCAAACTGCTTTAGTGAAGCTAAAGATGTGGTGAGAACTGTTACCATGATGTTACATTTATCTTATTTCTTAGGTGATAATATATCTTGTTTGTGGTATGAGGAATAACAGTATTTGTTAAAGTAGCTTTGAATGCTTTGTGACTGTTGCTGTTAAATACTGGTCTGGTCTTTCAGGCTTTTTACGGCTTGACAGGATTATGGAAATGAGATTATCAGATAAAAGGGGACTGCTCAGGTGTGTAATCATGCTCAGGTTGTCTAAGAGAAATGCTGCTGTTTCAGTGATTTCGTGCTAAATTATACTTTAAAGGGATTATTCATGCTGCAGGTACCCTGAATCCTGCTATAGCTGTTGAATTTGATCAACAGTAGGTTTGATTTACTTGAACCTGGGAAAGTAGAGATAGGAATTGTATAATTGTATGGAAAATGTAGGATTACAGGTCAAGCTGTCAAATTCTTCTCATGCTTGACCTCACAAAAATTATTTAGTGAACTGTTTTCTTTAACTAACTATCACAGCTTTTTGGCCTGTTTGTGAACTTGGTTTTCTTGGGTCAGGCATTCACAATAATGCTCGTGTATGTATGGAGCCGCAGGAATCCCTATGTCCGTATGAACTTTTTTGGTCTTCTCATCTTTCAAGCCCCATTTCTACCCTGGGTATTGATGGGCTTTTCGCTGCTTTTGGGGAACTCCATCATTGTGGATCTCCTGGGTAAGGAATTGCAAGAATCACAAGGACTTGTTCTTGCTAGTGTTTTACATGAAACAAAAAATGTGGAAAAAACAAAGGGCTAAATGCCTCTCTCTTAGTATTAGTTAGTCTGGTACGATGGCGCTGTATTTATACCAGGCTTTTCTTGATTTCTAAACACTGTAGCATATTTTGCACTGGAACAAGGATGGAAAGAGCTTCTGATGCTTTGGCTTTTTATTGCTTGGAATCAGCCCAGGTACATAATCTGATTGTGGGCATCAGACTATTGAGTAAAATAGCTTATATTACTATTTTTATCAACTCTAATAAAGCCGCAACATCAGTATGTTTAATAATGACAAGCAGTTTTCTTTGTATTAATGTCTTGTAGTGCAAGTTAAGCTTTTCATCTGATGTCAATGTGCTTCATTGTTTTTCGTATTTCTGTATCTCTTATTGTATTTTTTGTGAAAGAATAGATACGTGGTTTTGTTTTTTTTTTTCTTTCCTGAAAACTAGTGAAGCATTTGAAAGTTGTAAAGGAGAAGTATTGAAAATCACCATTTGGCTTTTCTTTATATGCTAGGCATTGCCGTTGGACATATATATTTTTTCTTAGAGGATGTCTTTCCCAATCAGCCTGGTGGTGGAAGGCTTCTGCGAACACCATCTGTCCTGTAAGTATTGGTGTCTAATTTGGAACGGATGTAGGAAAAGTGCTTGCATGGAAAACTGTTTATAATTCAGTCACATCAACTTCTGGTAAATTAGACAACTTGAGACAGAATTGTGGTGTGTCTGTACTTGCTCTTTTATTTAACTCGTGTGTTGCCAAACGAGAGAGGGGAGGTCTTACAGATGTGTAAGTGGGAACGAACTTCTTGTGGAGAAGGGCTGGAGGGGTTTTGTAACCCTTGATTTCTTTGGTAACACTTCTTAGTCTTTGCTAACTGAGTTTTGCCTGTTGGTGGCACCAAAGATGCACGTCTCTTATTGAGGTCTGAGGAATGAGAGTACTGTTGTGTGCGAACAGAGTGACTGAGGTATTAAATATATCTAATTTTTTTTACCTGTAAATCATTTTTTATTTCACAGCTTTGGCTAAAGACTTGTGTTTGTACTCCTACTCAGTTCCCTCTTCCCTAAAGGGCTGTAATCATCTGTAACGCTGTACAGCAGCCTGGGCGAGAGAAACGTGCCTAAACGATAGGGCAGTTGAGACATTGAAAGTTGAGGTCTGTGAGACTCTTAGATTTATCTAGAGCTGAACTGATTCTCTTTTTTTTTGTTTGTTTGAACTAGCCTCCAGAAGCCTGAATAATTAAAATGTCATATTCAGACCTGTGCTTAATTGATGGGTCATACCTGTTTGATTGGTCAAGTACACTTACATTGATAGTTTATTTCTGTTCAGTATAGGCTTTGTCTTCAGCAGGTGGTTGGACCAGGTGATGGCTGCAGGAATGGCTGTCCCAGGACAGCTGTGCTGGTCACTTTTGTAAGCCTACTCTAGTCTAACTTGGCCTTAGCAGCTGAAGGCTGTTTCTGGTGAGGGCTACCTTCATGTAAATGCAACTGTAGACAAATTGAGTGTCCAGTTAGACATGTGCGATAAGGATATATTTGAGACTTCCCATTTTCACAGAGGGTGTATGCACCCAGCTGTGTGCAGGAGGAATCCTAAGGCTGTTGGAGCAATGCGTGCTGTCTCAGTAACTCTTGTCCTCTGGAAAAAGTGTCAGCCTGTCTTCAGGCTTCCATTTAAATCCTTTTACGTTTCTGTGTTCAAAAGGCTGCTTGTGATTCTTGTCTGGGTCTAGAATTGTGCTTTTTTTTTTCCCCAGATGCTTTAATTTTCTTTGATGTCTTAGCTGTAATCCTGTAATACCCCTGGTATTTTCTTTTTTCCTGTTCTGAAAATTTCTCTGAAGTGGCCTGTCACTCTGGGTGAAGAGAAGTAATCCCTTTAGCTATTCTAAGAACTTTTACGACACTTTGGATATAATGATTGCTTGTATGCAGCCTGTGATTTTTTTTGTTTGTTTCAGAGAATCTACTACATTTTTGTTTCTGGATAAACAAATCTATGGAGAGAGAACCTCTAGAACTAGTTTTTGCGAGTGGCAAAATAACCTACGAGATTAAGCACGATTTTTGTAATAAATTGGAAGCCCAAGCCTCTAATGCTGTCTCAAATGCAGACTCTTCTGTAGATTTCAAGTCTGCATCCTGCCTGTGAGATTGAGATAATACTGCCTGTATTTGACTCTTACTTTGTCCCCTTCTCAAGATGTGAAGAGCTCTTCAATATCCCATTCATGTTTTGTTCCCTTATCCTGTCCTGGGAGAACATGCTAGCTGTATGAAATTCTGCCTTACACTGGAGGTGGAATTTTAACTTTGAGCTGAATCTCGTCAGTCTCAGTTGATTTAGGCACATAATTCTAGTCCTTATTCCAGATGGCTCCTAACTGGAGAGCAAGTGTGACTTGGATATAAATCACCGGTGCTTTGGCAAGCTGTTTTTGAAGGAGGACGCTGTACATGTGCAGAATTTGAGCAGTCTTGGTCTTATTGTGAAACACGTATTCTAAAGGGAAAAAAAAAAACCATTTCTGTTTTCCAGGAAAGCAATATTTGATACTCCGGAAGATGATCCTAATTACAATCCCTTGCCAGAAGAACGACCAGGAGGATTTGCATGGGGAGAAGGTCAGCGCCTTGGAATCTAATAAGTGTCTGTGCCAAAACCCAGCGACAACTGGGAGAGACTGACCTGAATGAAGTTCATACTGGGGACTCTCTCATTCCCCATCGCAGAAAGGACACTTTTTGACAGCTCTATGGTTTTGAATACAAGCACTTTATGAAATGGCAGTCTAATCCAAGACACTTACAGGCTACCAGTGTCTTTCCCAGTCAGGGAATTTATTGTGCTGGTAATGAAAATACTAATCCAGTGGAGCCAAAAACCTAAAACTGGAAACCATTTCCTGTCAACTTCAGTTAACAAGACCACAAGTACTTGTTTAAAGTGATTTCTAAAGCATTTTTTTCAAGTTATTTGATACAGGAAACTATATGGAAAACTTTACAGGGGACAAAACCCAACTTTTTTGGTTTTAACTCATTTTTTATTCTTGGATAAAACAGCTACAAGATGGTTGAAAGTGTAAGTCCCTATTCCAATGGCAAAAGGTTTTTTAATCTGAGATGCTGTTGTCTCCAGTCTTGTTTGAACTGTTAAGAAATACAACACACAGCATAATGCAGGCTTTTCATTTTGCCACTTGGGTTTCCGGAATGTGCCTCTGAATACGCTTGCAGGCTGAGACTACATTTTGATGGCTTTTCCCCCAAAGACTCTGTGTTCGGATGACCAGGTTTGAGTCTTAGTGGTTTGTTTCAATAGGTAGTTCTACAAAATCCACCCCCACACATGCACACTTCTAACAGTTATTAAATGACTTGGAGCACTAGGGAGGAAAACTTGTCTGGAGTCAGAACTGCTCAAATATCTCAGATGATGAGTTGAATAAAATGTCTTGCGCATCCTTTTTTGTTAATCCTCTGTATAATCCTGTAGTCTTGAGGCAGCTGGTGAAAAAGCAGAGGTTGAGAAAAGCAAGTCCCTGAAGAGACAGCATTAATGCAAGCTTTTCCCACAAGTGTGTCTCAGAACTGCTAGGAAACAGGATTGTGCGCTTAAGATGTTAAATTTGTGGTCTGCGTATGAAGTTTGTTGCGGGAGGACTGAGTGTCCAACACAGGTCAGTGGCACTGAGTGGGATTTAGCTTGAGGTTATGTTGATTATAAATATCTGTATGAGGAGCCACGTAAGGAATTCAGAGCACAGTTCAGCTCATCATGTCCAGTCACTCCGAAGACGCTATGGGCTGTACTGGGTATCTCTTTATCGATTGCATCGTAATAGATAAAAAGAGGTAACTGCATCTTCCTCCTGAATTTGGGAGGATAGGCTCACCCTTGACACACATGGTCATCTTGTTTAGCCTCAGATTTTGCTGTTCTTAAAAACTGGCTGCAGGTTTTTAACTTGTTTGTAGTCCAGGAGGTGAATGTGTTGGGATCTCACAGGAAAATGTGTTGTCCACAAGCAGTGCATTAGGTCCTGATAAACAAAATTGGTGAGTCCATTTGTACCTGCATTTTATCTGTTAAAGGTTATTAAAAAAAAAAAAACTTATGGGAGGTTTTTTTTCCCAAAACAGACTTTAAATCTTACTCTCTAGGAGTACTAAAAATGCTTTTGGGCAATGTTGCTTCAGGGTAGCGTATGAGATGAGAATTGGATCAAAACCTTTTTTTTAGTTCAGTGTTTAAGAGCCTCTTAGTAGTTTGCTGGTGGGACGTTGGGGTGGGGATGAAGCTAAAAGACAGCCCTGCGGCGCAGATAAAACCTTCTGTAAACCCAGTGCCCCGCTGCGAAACGGGCGAGGTGGTGTGCCCCTTCCTCCTGTTCTAAGCCACGTATTGATAGACAGCATGTCTGTCCTTGCTCTTCCAAAACTGCTTTCCTTGCATGCTTCCCTCCCCTCGGGTGGGGTGTTCCAGACTCTACGCGTCTCTTCACAGAGCAAGGCCACCGTGTCCGTGTCTGGGAAGAGCTCTGAAGTGGTGCTTACTTGTACCCCAGGACTAAATTGACTGGGACTGGCAGATTGCTGCCTAACCTGGTCTTTAATTGCCTTTGGATCCATTCTCGGGCAGCCTGTCCCACAAAGAATCATAGAATCATTAAGGCTGGAAAAGACCTCTAAGATCATTGAGTCCAACCATCAACCCAACCCCACCATGCCCACTAAACCATGTCCCTAAGCGCCTCATCTACACGTCTTTTAAATAC